GTCGGGCTGAGTTACAGATTTGGCACTTTTTGTTAAACCCACCTTTAAACTGATTCTCGCACTCTCAAAAACTAATCAGCATGTCTCCTTATCAATAGGATTCGTATGTTTTTTGAATCAATCAAAATGTTCCCGAAAATTTCGGGGATACGAAGCAACGACAGCGAAAAGGGAAAATCAGGATTTTGAGAGAATCAAGCATCCGATTTGAATGATTAAATTCTTAATGACGAAATCACGCGGTGATTAGTTTTTGGCAAAGACAGGCCCAGTCGTTTCAGTGATAATGGCTAAAAGTGTAAAAATGACAGTTTTTAAAAGAACTAAGCTTTCGATTTAAAATGTCAAAAGATTTTTTATTTAATTTTCATTTTATTAAATTTCAAAGATGATTTAGATTTTAATTTAAATTTTAGCTAAAGTTCGAAAATTCACTTCATATACTTAAAATAAATAATTTAAACTTTGCAATTCAGTTTAAAAAAATCTTAAAAACATGAGAAAAGTTTTCCTTCATTCAAACTCTGCTTGATCATGTTTTTTTTCTGGGAAACACGATTTTCCCATTTGAAAGCACTTATATTTTGTCCATAAAATATGAATAATTGAAGTTGCAGTATTTATAATAATCAATTTGACAGCATTTAAAATTCCGCGAATATTACGGTACGGGTTCCAGTAATTTGCCTTAAGGCACGATGCCATGCATCACTAGATCAACTGCATATTACATTAAAAATAATATACAATAATTGGTTACTTATTTTTCTTAAGTAAGCAAAGTCATTATAAGTATAATACATACTTAGATCCTATTATATTGAATGTTCTACATAGAATTTTGATTTGTTCAAATTTTATTACAATGACTTTACATATATATGTACCTATTATTTCTATTATAACTACTATTAATTCATTATACTACTATAAATATATTTGATTACCTTATTTGGTATTCAATCGGTGTTTTATACAAAGTACCTCGATTAGATCAGCTATGAACTGAACGGATATGCACGCTTTGATACAGATAATATAAATGTCAACTATAACGGTAAATATTAGCATTTCTAAGAGACAATTCTCTCAACAGCTGATTTGTTTACATAAGTAAATTTGATGCAAAAATATTCCCGAAATGCACTACAATTGATAAATTTAACAATTGCATCGGTTGACTAACCATTGCTGCATGTCGTCGGTTTGTCTAACAATGCACACTGATGTTATCTATTACATCTCTTACATAAATTAAATTCATCTCTGAAACACCTTTTTTTTAACTTCCCGTAGGGAAGTTATAGTGATGGGCCGAAAATCGAAAATGAAAATTTTTGCATTTCTTCACGTTTTGAAGGTTTCTGAACATTTTGGCATATCTCAGATAAAATGTGTGTGTGTGTTTTGTGTGTCCGCATTTTTTATCCACGTTTTAGAGCGCACGGAACAACCGATTTGAATTCAAAAAACATTAGATTCCTATCAATAGGGAGATGTGGTGATTAGTTTTTGGATTTTTTTTTTAAATTTTGTTTTTATTTTCGAAAAAAAATTTTTTTTGAATATCGAAAATGATTCAGATTTTGATTTTAATTCGAGCTAAAGTTCTAAAGCTCACTAATATACTTCAAATGCTATTCTTAATATATAATTTTCATAAATATTAGACAGTGTCCTATATTTTAAATTTGTAAACATATATAAGTTACAGTATCTATTTGAAAACATTTAATATTCCTAGAATTTTTCATTACGGTACGGGAAGTTCCAGAAATTTGCCTTAAGGCACAATGCCATACACAACTAGTTCATTTAATAATTGCAATATGTACCTATCAAAACTTCTTACTTTTTTGAAAAATAAACTAAATCTAAACTACAAGACGTTTAATGTTCGGTAAAATATCAAGCTAGTGAGCTATTATTGGGCTTGAATATCCAATTTTAAGCTAATGTGATAAAAGGTTGTTAGATTACAATAAATATTTTATATAATGTGTTGATATATATTTTTGCTATATATGTTGATGAGACAAATCACGATCTCAAAACGTTTGTAATTTAGTACTCTATGAATTAAAGTTAGTGTAAAAATAGAGTGTAGTGTGTTTATATTTACAAAATTCATTTCAGCAATGTTAAATACTATTCTTCTTAATCGATTTACTTGAAAAACGAAAATTATTCTAAATTTTCAAGTCAATATGCGATCTATATTAATGCCCAGGTGGAATACAATCAGTCTTTTTTTGAAATTAATATTTTGACAAAAAGGCTTATTTAGTTTAAAAATAATTCGGACCGACTTTGTGTAAATAATTTTGGATAATTTAGTTTAAATATAATTCGGACCGACTTCGTGTTAATAATTTTGGATTCATTGCATTAAAAGACGCAAAAAACAAGAACATTGCCTTTTTTTTAATTTTATTGGCCTCCGCTTTACAGCATTTTTAGCGACCTACATTATTCATATTATTTTTCATCATATTCTATACAATTCTTACATATATATTTCTTATACATTCATCATATATATACTATCTCTTCTTATATCCTAATCTTCCATTCAATTTTCTTTCTTAAATTCCATTCAATTTTAATTCTTCTTCTTGATTCTCAAATATGTTCTTCTCATCTTTTAAACTAAACTTCTTTTTTCCTTCTTACTTCTAATACAATTTTTTCTTGTATTCTACAAATTAATAATTCTTAATCTATTTTAATATTTTATATTTTTAATTCTGGTATTGCTGGAGATTCGAACCGAATTCCTCTAGCGTGTGAGTCGAGAACGCTACTGAGTGAGCTATTCCCGCCACTTCCATTAGAACAACTTAATTTTAAAAATGTTACACAATTAATTTTGGGTTTAGATCTTTGTGTCATGTTTATATGATTAATGATGAATCAGATTATGGTTTCTTTCGTGTTTATAAAATTATATATCGAAACTCAACTCAACTATAATTAAAAAATTTGGAATTCATGGGAGCAAATGCGCTTTACTTTATCTTTTGTGAAATTTTATGGTAATGAGATTTCTAGACTACCATCACTGTAACTCGAAAAATAACGTCTATCCTGATTGTTATGTAAATTGTCTTAAATGTTGAGAAAAAGATTTTTATGCAAAATATCAATGACTACTCTCATATTATATGTTTATCCACGCGCCATACTGATTGCGGTTTCGCATGTAACATTCATAGACTTTATAATACATTATTTAGTATATATTATATATTATATAGTACATTATAATGTGTTATAAAGTATATGCAGTCATTACATTGTCAGTTTCTTTGCATCCAGTTCTATGTATCGGATATGATTAATTCGAGCTTCAAATCGATTCCCGGGATACAATTGTTTCTAATTCATAGATGGGATTTACGATATCATAATCCTTAATTTTTTTTTGATTTTTTTTATTTTTGAAATATAAAAACATTCCTTCCCCAAAAACTAATAATTTCTTACTTTGTCAACAAAAGCACATTCTTTTTTTAATCATTCTCATCGGAAGCTCCGTTCTCTTAAAAACGGTAATTTTCAGCACTTTAATTTTTCCAAACGGTTAGACCTGTCTTTGCTAAAAACTAATCAACATGTCTCTCCATCAGTAAGAATAAAATATTTTTTAATCATTCGAATCGGATGCCCCGTTCTCGCCAAAGTCGAATTCTAATTTTCTGCACTATTTGTTTCGCAGCTACGAAACGGCTAGACCTGTCTTTGCTAGAAACTAATTAGCATGTCTCCCATTTATCAAAGATAATAAAAAACGGCCTGGCCGATCTCTACCGAAAACCAATTAGCACGATCCTCAACTGATGTTTCTCGAACAATTTCTAAATTTTGAAAATCATTTAGGATTTCTTGCAAAATGTGAACGAATAATTTTGTAGTTTCTAAAAAACGGGTTGCCGATCGCTTCGCAAAACTAATCAACGCCAGTCTTGTTCAAATGGTGTTTCAATGTTTGAAATCGGTTTAACCGCCTTTGAGAAAATGTAAATGAAAAACAATTCGGATTCAGAAAAATTTTCTGGCGAAAACATAAACTTTTCCTTCGGGTATGTTAAGAAACGACAGGACGAGGAAGTAATTGTCAAAAATGGACTTTATCAATATTATTATTAACACACTAAAAAATTGTTAATAATAGTATTGTTAAAAAAGTTCCAAGTTCGAATAGATTTTGTGTAATATTTATAATAGCCTTTATTTTACGTGCATGCTAACGAAAACGCACATACATATCGATTTCAATTATCAAATCTGATCATGAATATCGAGTCCTCTACTATTAAATTTCGTATGGTTAATTAATCTTGAATTATATAATAAATTGCAAACGTTCATTGTCTGTCGGAGACAGACTGTTCACATTTGCATCTGTATTAGCATAATATCCATAATATATTTCATAAAATATTTGTCGCTGGCATTAACTATAAATAGACTTTATATACTGATCAACCTATCAATTACAAAATTAAAAAAATATCAATGATTTAATGATTTGATTGCGGTATTTGGAAAGCAACTTTTTTTAAATATGTATTTTTGCATATTATTAATTCTGTGAAATGACTCGCATATAACGTGTTTTATTCAACTGCTCCATATCTAAATGTAGTGAAAGTGCTCCGATTTATTTCAGCTTTATAACCGCTCGAAATGCGTCTGGCTGTTAAAGTTGTAAAATTATATATATATATATATATATATATATATATACATATATAATTAAGTTTTTGAGATAGCTAATTTTGGCCATTTTATTTTTCTTAACCAAAAGCCTTCTTTTAAAAAAAAATGATATAATATTTTTGTTTTATCGTTTCGGGAATATGAAATGTACTGTTCTTCAGGAATTAGCACATCTATAACTTACAGTAATAATTATTATAATTTTTAGTAAACGTACAAATAAATGTTTATTGAGTTAGTAATTTTTAAAATCTTTTCAGTTTCATTAACATGAATACCTTGATGAAGAGGACAGTCCATAGTCCCATAGAAAATATCCCAAATGAATCCTTTCGTCCTCTTTGAGACATTACCACCTGAACCATAAACCGTACAAGTCATACATCGTAATCAATCTTTGCCCGGCTAAAAACAGAAAAAGAAGGGATTGCAATAAATGCAAAAGTCTTTTTTTACCAGAGGATCATTTGGTCTGTTTTTAGCAATTATTTCTTGCATACATGAAGTTGAATTTAGAAGCCAATCACCTTTGATAAGTTTTAATTTTTTTTTTTGCTTGACCCAATGATGCTTGAGAAATAGTACTATTTTGTCCAATGAATAAGTATGTCAATTTGTCTGAAATTGAATAAGAATTAATAATTAATTAAAATTTGACCAAACTTCTGACTAATGCAATAAGATTGATTAAAATCACTAGTACTGGCTTAAGTTAATTGAAATAATTACGAATATCCATAAATAGGTCCCAAAATACATGAGAAAAACGCCTTCAAATTAATATTCAATGCGCGAAATACGTTTGAGTTGATTACTGCTACAAGACTGTGAAAATGACGCTAAACATCTGACAAGATTATTATTATGACTTTCTTCATGTTACTAAAACTAGCCACATGTCAAGATTGGTAAACCATGCAAATGAACTTGCAAAAAACCTACTGTCTGCAAACACTATCAAAAGACTAAAAAGATTAGACCCTTTCAATTTAGTATAGTTAATTCACAATTTAGATTTATAATTATTTTCTGCGCATATTATACAAACTTAAAATACTACCAATGGGTAGTATTTTGAAATATTATTTAATTAACTTTCCGTAGGGCAAGTTATAGTAATCGCAAAAAAATCGAAAATGAAAATTTTTATATATCTTTACGTTTCAAAGGTTTCTGAATATTTTGGCATACCTTAGAAAATATGGTATGTGTGTGTGTGTGCAGATACAAATTTTCGTCGACGATTTCGGGAACACCGTTCAACCGATTAGAATAATTCAAAAAGCATTCGATTCGTATTGATAAGGAGAAGTGCTGATTAGTTTTTGACGAAGGCAGGTCTAGCCGTTCCGAAGATACGAAGGCACGATGCCATGCGCCCCACTAGTTATTTTAGTCATTTTAATTACTGAATGCCTTCTAGGCAGTTGTAATTTGATGGAAATATAAAAAAAACTAAAACTAGCCGGTTTTTAAATAAAGCCACATCACATTTACCACAACCCTTTTTTCTAATTGACAATTATATAACTCTTCTGCTAATTATTTAAATAATAATAATATAATATTATTTTCGAATTTTCGATTATTGTGCGATGTGATAATTTGATAGTGTATTTGAAGTATTTTGCAGGCCAATCGTCAAATTAAAAACAGATTAAAATAGATTTTTTTTTCTGGTATAGTAGGTGTTACTATGCACAGACACAACGAGCGAACAACAGGCAATATTAGGAGGCCAATATGTGTTCCTTTAATTTCTCTTTTTATTAATTACTATTAGTTATGTTCTTGTGTACAAGTCTAGTGTTTAATACATTTTATATATTTTTTTGTGTTTTTCCTGGTTTGATTTCTGAATGATGACACACATTAAAAGTGTCGAAACGTTTATTCGAAATTATCTATTTTAATCTTTATTTAATTCGACAATTGGGCTGCAAAATACTTCAAATATGTATCAACGACGATGAAACTATCATCATATACATATATATATATATATATATATATATATACATATTTATATATATATATATATATATATATATATATATATATATAAGTATAAAATATAATTCTTACGTGCACCGATGTTGTCAGTGAATCTCATAACTTCGTTCGGTTTACAGCCCCAAATACTGCACGTTAGATACGTCCTGCTGTCAAGCCTTTATTAGTCGGCTAAACTGCTCGAAACCAACGACACAGCCTTACGCTACCCATTTCCGAATCGACGCGGAAACCAGGGAAATAGCACGAGGAACTCACGTCTATATACTTGGCACCGCGATGGTAGAAATCAGCAAAACTAATTGTATGAGACTATTAATTCCGATCGAGCACATATTTTTGTAAAGGTATTGGTGATGATTTTGTTATATACTTAATTGGGCAAAAAATAAGCATATTTAAAGCGGATTGCGATCCGCTTCCATACTACGAAAAAAATCAAAATTAAAATTTTTTTTTTGAATTTTTCTTTTTTGTATCGCAGAGCAAAAAAATCACAGATTCCGAAACAAATTTTAAACTTTTGAAAAAGTGACCTGTGGTCACCCCATAAAATTGGCAACCTCTCTGAAAAGGGGTTAAAAAATAATTTTTTTGTATTTTTTTGTTGTTTTATATTAAAGTAAGCGAGCAAAATATTGGGCATTTTCAAAATTGTCATTTTTTTTTAATGGAAAAATTTGGGAATTTTCCTATGCGTGAAAATCTTTGATGGGCAAAACTTTTCCAAAAATTAATTGCATCATTTGACAGCAAAAAAATCACTGATAACGATAGTAAAAAGAAATTTTAATTATTTTGCATTTTTAAAGGGGTCGGTGCTGACTATATATATAGTTAGCACCGAATTTGGCCCCACCCATTTATCTCGAGAACGGAAAGAGCAAAAAAATTTTAGTTTGCACCAATCGACAACAAAAAAATCGTCAAAAAATCAGGTCATATTAGATTTTCCAATTTTTACCATCGCGGTGCCAAGTATATAGACGTGAGGAACTCGAACTCAAGGAATACGCCCGCTGCCAGCGATCTCTTGCGGGTGGGCCGCATACGAGCATGACAGGCACCACGCACCTTCGAACTGCCCAATTATTGATCAAAAACTACGGATTTTGATCAATATTTGGGAGTAATTTTGCCATCGTTCTGTTCCAACGGTCTTAAAGACTGGGCCAGCAAAAGGCCTGACACAAATGGCTAAAGTACAATTCGACCACACCGGGAACGTTCGCTCGTTTCAAACGCGCAAGACCTTCGGGCGTGCTGCAAATGCAGAATATTATAATATTGTGGGAAATATATTTTATATTATTTATAGAAATATGTTGAGTTTAGGAAACAATATAATAATATAAGGAATATAAACATATATGAACAATGCATCTTTGCATTTTTTTCATTTTTTTTATCATTTTTGAACAGCAATCACAACCTTACGTCCTATGAGCTGTTGGGCTGAAACTTCTCCTTCCTTCGTATTTTTTTAGATGGTAACCCAATGGTTAATCCATCCATATTTGATGATTTTTGTTATTATAATTAATCTAATAGGGCTGACATTTTATTGGTGCAGCAATGCCGGATTAAGGGCTATTTTCACTTGGAAACATATTGCTATCTATATTTTCAAGTAAAAATCGTTGTCACTGCTACCTGACAACAGGCTGCTCGAAGTGGGTATCGAACCAGGGACCTCTGAAACAAGTCCCGTCGCTCTTAACCGCTTACCTACGGGCGAGCCCTCATCTTCGCATGATGCTAAAGTTTATGGTTTTAACGAACATCCCACTATACATAAAAACGATACAAGATGACTTGAAACGCCGAGAGAACACATAACGTAATATTATAAAATTGGATTTTCTGGCGATAAATCTCTTTTCGCAAAATTAATAATAAAAAATAAAACTCATATTTCGAGAATTAAAAACTCCACAGTTTTTATTTTTGTCAAATGAACTGTGATATACTGTCAATATGTGTATAAAAATGATTTTTTTTATCTATTTCTAAATTATTTGAACAACAATTAAAATTGAGTCATATAAGTTGTTGCAATGATTTTTAGTTAGTTAAAACTACGTCAGTGTTATACATGGCAACCCAACAGTGATTCCATCGCTATGTGATGATATTTTATTACTACAAATTCTGTAAAAGTAATATTTTTTTATAAACATTGCTTCGCCGGTCAAGGCTATTTCCACTGGGAAACATATTGCTATCTATATTTTGAAGTAAAAACCGATGTCACAGCAGCTTGACATCAGACTGTTGAACGCGGCATAAAATGGGATCTTTATAATTCACGGGGTAGTATATAAAACTGAATAAATTTGTTTTTTGTATTTACCCAATTGCATATGCATAAATTTAAAATGCTGTAAAGTATATTTGATCAATTCATCAATAGCTTGGTTACAGCTAGTATTGATTTGTCGATTTGTTATACATTCAAACAGGTGTTGACTGTAGTTTTAATTTAATAAAAAGTGGTTTGCCAATGGAGTCCTCTATAAATGAAATATAGTTTAAAGAACAAAAAGTTCACATTTAAAATAAATTCTCGTCACATTTGAAAGAGTTCGTTGTGAAAAATATATTTACCGTCGAAGAAAATGCTGCTTGCATATTTGTCATATCCAAATGTTATTGGAGTAGATCAACGCATTCGGCATGACAGCACGAATTGTTAATTCAATAAACAGTGCTTATCTTCGCCACATGCAATCATATAGAAAGTGTTCCGCTTTGATTATTATATAATATACAATATACCTACGTGCACGATGCGTATAATTACCTTTGCAAATATTTATTGTTTTCTTCGATGATGATCTGGCTAGAAATTGAAAATATTTATATTTATACTTCATTCTTCAGTGTCATCGTATCTAATGATATCTTATTACCGAGGTACAACAAGTAGATTACCATCTTCAGTAAAAGAACCACTTCTTATGATAGTAATGAGCTAATTCGCATTGGTAAAATATACCATATCATTAGTTTGTTAAATTGAATGTTGTACAGAGGTACAACTTAACTATTAGCTGAATTCAAACCACTTTCGGTGCGTTTCGTGCGAGATGTGATATATGTACATTAGGGCGGATCGATTTAAAAGTCTCTCAGGCACATATAATTTTTGGATACTAGGGATCAAAATAAGATACTTTGCTGAAGAAACTATACCTCTAAAATGAATTCTGATGTCCCGTGCATTGACCCAAAGATTGGGATTGAATTTTGAAAAATTCCGTTTTAATTCACTTAGAGTGCTCCAATTGCGTCCAACAAACCCCAACTAACTTTGGAAAGCCGATCCACCCATACCTATGGTTCACCCCCTGGGACCTCCCCTTAGAGGTCTCCCATATAAATATTGCAAAAAATCATCGTTTTTGGTATTTTATTCAGCGAAAAATGTTTTTTTTTTAAACAATTTTTTAGATATTAATTCAAATACATACAAAAAAAAATACTAAATTTCTTCTTCGTTTCAATTTTCCAATGCATTTTGTCTCTGCGCTTCTATGCTAGCTAGAGGCTGTTACGGCGACGATATTAGAGAGCCGTGCAAAATTTTCCAGACTTGAAACTAAAAAAGACTTCAAACAATAGTTTATGATTTTACATAGTTTTAATTACATATCTTATGTTTAAATAAATTTTATAATAACAATAAATTGCAGATTTTTGTCATGTTGAAGTACCCAAAATGATGCAACTTTTGTGTGGGGGACCTCTAAATGGAGGTCCCAGGGGGTGAACCATGGGCATGGGTAGTTCGACCTTCCAAAGTTACTGGGGGTCGGTTATACATTCAGACATTATTAAGACGCTCTAAATGAGCCAAAACAGGATTTTTTAAAATTTGACCCAATCTTTGGGTGAATGCACGAGACATCAGAATTCATTTTAGAGATATGGTTTCTTCGGCAAAGTATCTTATTTTGATCACTAGTATACGAAAATCATATGTGACTTTTTACCCATACAAATCGACCCGCCCCAATGTACATATATTGTATTTTCAAACAAAGTTTTTGTAGTATAAGAGAAAAGAACCGTAATATACTGACCAGCAAACCGAAGGATAGCCAAAAAAAACAATATAAATTATTAAAGATTTTGGTTGTAAAGCGATACAGTCAAAAGTCGATTTTTATTTCTCAATACCACTGTCACAGATGTTTTATCTATTATTTTAAGATGTTTTCTCTTAGTCCCGAAGTCAAATTTCATTACAATTTTAACGATTTTTATTAAATATCAGAGATAAATTCGAGAAGTTTACGTATATATTTATTTGGTTCGTGTTAAGTTCAAAAATCTTAAATGAAATCAAAACAATTCTTTTTAAACTAATATTAATATTTTTTGTAACACGTAACCATTTCATCATTTGATCCAATTTTAAGATTTGATGAAAACCAAATTTAAACACGCACACACGGGCATAATTGGATTTATGAATACAGGACATTTAAAAGAAATACACTTGTTCCACTCCGGAAACTAGAGCAATTCCTTCGCCCGAAATGCAGATTTATCATTCCTTTATTCAATATACCAGTTTCCAAAATTGAGTACAAATTCTTGGAACCAGAATTTTTATAGTCAAAGATTTATAACTATTTCAATTTTAATAGAAAATACACTCTGTGTTGATGATGTAAGAACAAAAAAAGTTTACTGAAATATTGGAAAAATTGGGTGACACTGTTTTAAGAAAATATATAAAATAATTCGTAAAATATAAAATAATTCGTCGAATATAAAGTAATATATATATATATATATATATATATATATATATTGTTGCGACCCAATGGTTTAACTATAACTAATATATTACTAACTATAATATACGCTGCGCATATATCCGATTCTCAGTTTCTCAACATTGTATTCATCCCAAGAACTGTTGTTACATTGTATTAAGTCATATCGAGTAACAAAAGTATTAAATAATCAAACTAGGACCGATGAACTTTTTCCAAATGCGTACGTGATCCTCAGCATACGACGCAGTAATTCCTATGAATTTCGATCGGAAAATCACATACTTTGCACTCATACATATAAGGAAACTACTGTCCCTGATTATTAAATGAAAAGGCTATATAAAGCCGAAATGGAATTTTAAGTTGTTCAGTTGTGTAATTTTCGTATAGACGACAGCATCTCAGAGTATTAATGAACGGGAAAATAAAAGTATACATGAAAAATATTGTGTTTAATTTAAACTTATTATGATATTACAATAACATCTAACGAAATTGGTTGATGAAGAGAAAAGCTAATCGGCGCCCAACAATATATATGTATATAAGATTTAGTAGTTAATTTTGATGTTGAAATATATGAGTGAGTTCTTGAGGTCGATACATCAAACAAAATCTGGCGATTACTGAATGATAACACACATCAAGTGTCGAAACGTTTAATGGAATAAATAATTTTGTTATTTAATCTTTTTTTAATTCGATGATTGGGCTGCAAAAATATTACAAATATGTATCAACGTCGACAAAATTATCATCATATATATATATATATATATATATATATATATATATATATATATATATATATATATATATATATATATATAATATATAATTATATATATATATATATACATATACAAATATAAATTGTCAATGAGTTATATAAGAAGAAATAGATTTCTGAAAGCTTTATCTGAAAATATCGTGAACTAAATAAAAACATATATGATGTTAAAATCATTTTCATTATTATGGCTTGGCAAATAACTTAAAACATATACAAAATAGACACATAAATAATAAATAAATAACTAAAAAATAGTTCCTTGGCATTTGTATAGACTTATTTCACACGAATGTTGTACAGTAAGATATTAATTAAATATCAATGGGGCATACCCTGAGGCCCTTCCATGGGAAGCATTGCTACCCCTGCCAACTCTTGTGCAGCGACCATCGGGCCCAAGAAGGCCTTCAGTTTGTAATGCTTGTATGCGAAAGTTTACGGTTTCATTATTAATACTGCCAGTCATGAATTTTTGTATTGAATTCGTCATCACCCACAACTCTTGGCCGCCAATTAAGTTATTGATTACTTTAACGCCGCTGGCAAATTGTAATGTTTCGGGATTCTCGGCAACAGTGATGAGATTTTGAGGTTCGTATGGAGTGCTCGTGTCCCAGCAAGCAATGGCTTGTGGATTGACCAGCCCAAAAAATAAGTTGCCGTGGTTGTCTATGGCCTGGGCGGCGCTCTGGGTATCCCTTTTCCCTATCGTCTGGAAGAATTACATTTATTACTATAAATCTGATATAAGTACAGTCAATCCTCCGATAACGAGGTACTCTGAAAACGCGGTTTTTATACTACGCTGAGCTGAAATTGCGACAGCCCTTCTGTAGCGTGGTTTTTGTTCAACAGTCCATAAGTTTCTTCCGCGCAACCTATGAATGACTATTGTAACTAGAGTTTTAATATAAGTTTTTTTTATCGATTTCATACGTTATCGATACATAATTCTTCATCTTTTACAATAATTTTATATAAAGATGCCAGTTTTTATTACAGCTGTGTACGACATTCGTTTTGGTAGTGTCAATCTTTCACAAAACGTCATAGTATTAATAGATTTTGTTTTATTTTAAATTGCCGAAGGAGAAGTTTATGTTTTCATAAAAAAATCTGATTCGCCAATTTTATGTTTTCTCAACGTTTCAAGCCATTCTGAATCAAATGAGACCAAATTTGGAAAAAGTATGTATGTGTGTGTGTGCGTGTATGCAAACAGATTTTTGCTGTAAATAGACGTTTTCTCGAAAACGGCTGGACCGATTTCAAAAATTTAAAAACCATTCTCGATGCATCTCGATGAGGACTATAGTTTGTCAGTTTTGCGCGACGATCGGCCGATCCGTTTATTTATTATATTCCTCTATAAACTCTTCAATTCAATAAACAATAATTTATATGTTTCCTCATATTTTAATATGAACTTTTAAATTTAATTAAAATAATTTATAACTTATCGTTTCCATAGTTCGCACTACGAATTAGCCTAGATTAAACATGGATTATGTCAATGAGAATTTTTTATAACACGGTTTCCATATTACGCCACTTACCGCATATTATAAATAAATATTGGTAAAATGTAATAGTCTACGTTATAACGCTAGTATATTTGGCAAAAAAATCAATATTACCTTGTAATATAAAAACTATAGAATATAAGGTAATTATTCAAAAAAAGTAAAATATGAAATTTCTCAATTTTCAAATAATTAAAAAAAAGTGTAAATTTAATAAGAATTTTGTTTGTTGTTACTACTTCTTAAATAAGATAACATTCCACATTCCAGTAATGAAAAGAATATTTAATAATAAAATAATTATATATATATTTTTTTTTGAAAAAAGCTCCTATTTTGGTATAATAAAATCTTTAATGGTGTTTTTAAAAATCGGTAATAAGTGTTTTTTAAATTATAAAAATCACAGTTTATGTTTTATGTGTATTTATCTCACAGTTTTAATGATTTGGCTCCATATTCTAAATGGAATAATACGCTTCCATTCAGTCATTACTAGGTGCATGAAATTTTTATCATCTAGGCGTATTTTTGTCGTCAATATCGATTTCAAGATTAACTGATATTTTGATTTCCCTAGGAAATTAACACGAGGATTTATACAAAAATTCCTAAATAAAAATTCTACGTCAGCTGCAGATTTAATTTTACGACATTATTGCTTCACGATAATATCTAGTATGTATATAAATAAGCTGCAATAATATTAGGCGTTAAATCAATTCAATTATTTTCCATTGTTGAATCTATGTAATAGTCTGCATCACTAGTATATTTATAAATGATGTAAATTCTAGTACATAATATGTATCAATTTTACTAAATTACCTCAAAAAGTCGTGGATTTGCATCTGGATCTTCGGTCCACATTGTGCTGTTAAGAAGTACGTCAGTTGTAACCATGTTTTCAGCATTACTTGCTAAAGCATGGAAATATAGTGTCCTTGGTTCTCCACGATGTTTATTACCATTATAACCGTTGCCATGATTAAATAAATTTTGGATGAATCGTGTATCCTTTGCTTGTTGTGGGGTTAATGCCATGCCAACAATTCCGTCCATCAAATCAAATGATTCGCCTTAAAAAAAAGAAAATGTTAGTTATATGCTTCATTTATTTATTTATTGACTGTGGCTGTGAAGAAAAAAAATATTGATGCATTTTTTGTAGATATTTTTATGATCTACAATTTTGTCTCAGATGATTTTGCAATAAATCTAACCAATCTAAGCTGAAAATCACGAAAAATTCTTTTTTTTTTATCTTTGACCCTGTGTCATTTTTTTAGCTCGCATCGGAACGATGAGGGCTTTTGAGATTTCTTTTATAATTGTATTTTAAGTAATTTTATCAAGTTAGAGCCCATTATGAATTATTGTAACGTTGAATGCTTAAATTTTACTCATTCCATATATTTCTCCCATTTGACAATATTCATGTATATTTAAAATAAATATTGTCCGGTCTACAAAAAACGAGTTCCAGCTAATCATGACGTAATACTGGTAATATTGGGGCAATATTTAAAATTTTCAATAATTAAAAATAAATATTAACCATATTAAATAAAGTATTAAAATGTGTGTATACACCGTAATTTGGCACATATAAGGTACTATCAAAATTGTGCGATACGAGATTAGATTATGTTTAAGTATCTATTAATATAAAAATTATTTTCAAAGCAAGTGAACAATTTTACCTTGAATTGTGAATGTTCCCCATTCCGGATTAGGATAAAAAAGTTTATTATTAATTCGCCAGGATCGCTCGTTTTTCAAGTCAAATACTACTAAGCCTTGTCCAGTTACATCTCCAATATAGACAAATGTATTGCTACATTTTCCGTTGCTGTCTTGGACGTCTACGACCTGAAGCATTAAATAAATGGTAAAAATAAGGTTAAATACACAACAGCTTTAATTTCTGAAAATTGATAACTATTTCTTCATTATTATTAAAATTATTATTGTTAAATGAAACCGTACATACTGGAACCATTCGGAGATCGAGGGTTCTTCCTCGATAATAATTTTGTTGTTCACTTTTACAAAAAATAGAGAAAATTATAAGTATTCTTTGCTCCACCTGAATTTAATTACTTTATTTTCAAAATACTTTGATACTTAGTTTCAAAATTTTACTTTTTCTATTACACTTACTGGAGTGACGAATAAACTGATGCCACTTTTGTATTGATCTTCTGGGAATCTGTAGCGCATTATCATTTTGTCAGTATGCAGATTAAAAACTACAAGTTGAGGTGGACAATGCTGTGTGGATCCAATCATTCCTGTATCCAATACCCACATTCTGTTGCATTTATCTATCTAAAAATATTTTTATAATGAGTATCATTAATTATCAATAATGACCCTAAAAATTTAAGCTGCGATATATAGTTCTCTAGGCTTAGTGATCATATAAGTATTAAATGAAAGGAATTAAAATATTCCTTACAATAATTTTGCAGGGGTAATTAATACCGCAGCAACGCTATTATTATTAAAAAATGTATTTAGTGAAACATACAAATGGAGAAACATTAAAGTAAAAATCACTTTACATCCTCATATTCAACGATTAAAAAGACTATATTTTCTAGATCATTTAAGATATAGATAGATTATATTTTCTAGATCATTGTCCAAATAGAGTGGCAACAACCTCGAGAATTTCTTGGGGCCCGCAAATGTATAAGGAAGTATTTATTATTTGAATTAACACGCATTAAATTATAGATAGAGTTATAGATAGACAATATAAAATAAATTAAAAAATTAATTATAGAAATTCATTACGGTCAAGTAATCCCAAGGTCAGAAAGCAAGAATGTTTATTGGAATTTGTGTGTTTTATGAATTGAGTTGTTGAAATTTACATATGTATATTGGTTATTTGTAAAAAAGACTTATATTTATTACAATATTTATTGAAATATGCGGTATTAAACATAACTATAGAAAAATATATTATACGAGAAAAAATTGTATTGGTGTTTAAATAATTGATTATGTTTTTGCTAGTATTCACATTCTCGTTTAGAAAATTTGAGGTAAATGAACTGTGAAGTTATAGTTCCTGCTTTTTAGTAATAGATTTATATCACTCATCTTAACTAGCATTGTTTAAGAGCTTGAATTTGTATTAGATGATAAAAAATATTTGTATTATAAAATACAAATATTATAATGATAAAAAATATTTGTATTATAAAGACTGTACTGGAATTTATTGAGAAACTATTATCATTTTTTAGATATTTTTATGAAGTTATATAACAAGCCAAATATTTACATATTCATAACATATCATCCTCAAATATTCGTATTGGCAAAGTTAAAAAAATAGAGATATCAATGATGATCAGTGGTGTTGTGCTAATATTTTTTCACCGAAACGCTAAAATTAAAAAAAAACGGTTCTCATGTTTGTTTCCGTTCGAAAAAAAAAACAAAAATCATTATAAAACCCATTTTGTACATATATATGTATGTTTATTAGAATAATAGGAAAGTTTAATAAAGAGTAGTTAAATTGTAAATTATAAAATTCACTTATCAAATCATTTTCTGTGTGTAGCGATTTTTTTTTCACTGCTGATGATTATATAAATATAGAAACGTGCATCTGTATGCATGTTGCAAATAATATTCATAATTTTTTTAAAACTAAATATTTGTTTTAAATTACAGATACACATTAAATTTAGACTGTAGAATGAAGAACAGGAATTATTTACCTGGTGTTTACCTAATTCGCACAGAAATTTATTTTTGGTTAGCTTGCATAACCCAAATTAATTATATAAATATATTTATATTAAGTATATAATTATATTTACTAATTATTTTAAATGCAGTTTAAGAGAATAATTGAACTAAATTGTAATTTTTTTGCAAATCGTTCTACGTACGATAGGTTATATACCTATACTCCGTAGAAGTAGAAGATGCAATCAATTTAATTATGTATTAATAATAAGTAAATTGATGAAAAAGATAACTAAATAAAACTGAAAAACCTATCGCAGATAATAAAAATTTATGAAAAGGCAAAAACTTTTCGATAACGTAACTTGCATCACATTTTAAACTAGTAAAATTAAGCGTTATGGTAGTCAGTAGTATTTAACGCTTTTGCTAAATTTTAGTCTCATATATAATATGATAAGTATAATAATATTTAACCCAGAATAAAAATATTGTAGTTTGTAAAATAGTTTAAGTGCTATTTGTATGGGTATTCAGAAAATGCGGCTAGTAAAGCTTTTCTGAAAAGAGTGAAGTTTATGTTTTCATAAAAAAATCCGATTTGCTAATTTAATGTTTTCATGACGTTTCAAGCCATTCTGAATCGAATGAGACCAAATTTGGAAAAAGTATGTGTGTGTGTGTAAACAAATTTTTTGCAGTAATTCGACGTTTTCTCAAAAACAGCTGGACCTATTTCAAAAATTTAAAAGCCATTCGATGCACCTCGATAAGGACTATTGTCGATGGGCCAAGCCGTTTCTTTAATTTGAATTTCACTTTTCTGCTAATTGAAATTGCAGAAAAGTGAAAAATCTTTCGTCCACGTTTTCAGCCCGCAATTCTGAATCGATTTTGAAAATTCAAAAACTGTTCGAAAGATATTGGTTGGGAATCGTGCTGATTAGTTTTTGGTAAAGATCGGGCGAGCCGTTTACTTGTAATAAACCGTAAAAAAAACGTTTTGACAATTTTTATTATTATTTTTTGACAGATACCTCATAGATCAGACTGAAATTTGTTTAACTTTAAAAATTCGTCAAAGTTTGAGAAAATGAGTAGTTTTTTTGACGTTAAAATTAAAATTAGATTTTAATAACGATTTACTTGGTATAACGATAGAGTACTTGGTCTTAATTAACATACTAAACGTGAGTTTTGTCCACAAATTATTCATAATATATTATATTTTGGTACGTACATCGACCCGGAACACAGATGTTAAGCCGTTGCAATTCCGGCCATGACTGGAATGCCAGGAATAATCTGGATATGCCGCCAACATTGGTCCATTAGCGGCTTGCTGCCTCGTTACTGTAGTAAGTGTCATTGGTACCCCATTTGAAAACCTCGGTATTGTAACGAATATCCTAGAACCTCCATTTTCTAAGAAAATAATTTCATTAATATCATAACAACTCTAATATGTAAATTAAACTGATTCAAATGCAAATCTATAAATGTGTTAATCTTTAGCAAGAAACTCAGTAGGATATTTAAAATTGCAAATTATATGAAAATCCATATGTATTCAGCATATTTTTTAGAATATCAGTGCTTAATTTATATACCAAGAACCATAATTCATTGTCAGCAATATGATACATTGCTCTGAATATTTTGTACCCGGAAGTGTAATTCAGTTAACCAGGTGCTGTGTTAATTATCTGTTTCAGTAAATAAAATATATACAATTATCTTGAATTAAATATAAAAATTATTTATAAAACCATCAATTTTAAAATATTTAATTATAATTTTTAAAATAAATTCAATGTAAATTTACTGTGAGTGTAGCATAGGTCTATAAGAATTTCATTAGAGCATGACAAAAACTGTTTTCATAGGTAACAGAAATGAAAGCAACTTTCCATTTCCCTTGTGAAATAAAGAGATGTAATAGTCTCCAAACGCACCTGAGTTTTTGGCTTGTCATCTAACAAATTATAATTTTTTTTATTTAAACTGATATTATTATAACTTGATTATTCACTAAATAATGATATTATTTTATTATTCATATTTCAACTACATGACATTAGTAAAAAACTACAAGCAGTCAATGAATGTATGTTAATTTTAATTACATGAAGTTCTTCAAACGCAATTACACAATGAGTGAAGTTGCAAAAAACAATATTTGTTTAGGCGTTGTTTAACATAATCTACAGTGTGAACGAATATTACAGAATTCATTAATTGGCAATTACATCATTTCTCTAATGAAGGTTCATTTCTAAATGCTAATTACAATGACAAACCGATGTTATATTTGAAGTATGACTTGAATTACATTATTGTTTTTAAATATTATACATATTTTTAATGTTATTATGAATATATAATTTATAATTTATCATTGTATAAATGTGTATATTGGTTGACATTAATGAATGTGTGCATCACGAGTGTTACCATATTACTAATAAACATTATTCAAAAGTGTTATATGATGTATTTATTTTTACTTAACGTAAATTTGCTACCTTTTACAGTAACAAATAAGTTTTTTTTTTAATTTATTTTTATTGGTTTCTAAATTACAACAAGCCACTTACAGTCTAATATAAATCGTTTTCTAATATTGTTTGTCTAAAATTAGGAGTTTCATTAAATTTGATGTTATGGGCTCAATTTACTCTTTCACATTTGTTGACAGAAACAATTACCCGTAGTACCTACTATAAAGTAATATGAGTTTTAAAATTATTAATATATTATTAAAATTATAATATATATTAACCGTGATCCTAATTATTTTATTTGTAGTTTTGTAGGAAAATATTAAAGTTTTCTATAAACTGCGTAAATATTTTATGCTTGATTATATTTTGTTCTTTACTAGCTCAATGAATAGCTAGATACTTTCTTCGTGCTTTAAAAATATTAAATATTAATTCAAAAATGTTTAGTATTGTGTATTAAATTCAAAGTTAGTGCGTGTGACTTATCCTGTAAATCATTGTATCATTTATAATTTATATGATAAGGCTAATTATGTGTCGAGACGGATATAATTATTTACAGCGGAGAATCAATTTATCGGTGTTTAGTTATGAAAACTGCAATTATTCGGTTTGTCAACTACAAACAAACAACTTTGAAGATTAACTGTAAGTGACGGACACATGCCTAGCATTATGCATTAACCAGAAATATTTCCAATATGCATATATTTAAAAGCTATAATTTAAGTTATAAGTTATTTCATAATTGTGAGTTACAATTTGCCCATATTTCGAAGACATTCAATAATTGTTTTGATATTTTATTGTATGGCTTGTATTTATAACGCAACCCACTAGTTGTCCTATTCTAATTGCGACTAATTATGACTTAATATTACATTTTTTGAATTCATATTTTTATATGCAACATATTTACGAAAAGCAATTTTTCTTTGAAATTATATAAAATACGATTGAATCTAACTTAAAAATCCCTTTACTTTAAAATATTGTTATTAAAAAATTCCTAACTTTACTTATTTTTGAGATATTGGTAGCGGACCTTTTTACCAGCGGACTTTTAAGCTCCGCTCTCCCCAATTTTTTTTCAACTATATATTAAAACAAAAGAAAATTATAACATATTTTTCAGATTAGATGAACATTCGATAGTGACAAATGAGTGCAAACGTCTGAGGTCCCCCACTTTGAAAATATTTAATATCTTTGATGCAACACGGACTCCAACTAATTGTGAAAAGGATTTTATAGTATAGAAAAAACATAAAAAAATGTTTTGAAACAATTAATTGTTCTTATTGCTAAGAAAATTGCAAAAATTTTAAATTACTTTAAAGTTGACTCGAAAATGAGTATAATAAAAAAGCCAATACTGATGTGATCAGTACAACTGGATATAATTAATTTAACAGAGGAAGTTCATGAAAATTGAGTAAATCATCTGTAATTCAATCGTAAATATTTATATTAGGTAAAAATTTATTTGAGCGAAACCCTGAAATACGTGTCAAATGATTTTATGTGTAATATCTGTAAAAAAATTTTAGACCATTCTAAAATGTAACATCTAATTTTGCTCAAAATCCATGCAATTTGTAAAAGAATGGCCTATGGTTGAATGAGTTTATTAAAAAATTTTGATTAATTTAGAATTTCGATATATTTTTTGATTTTAAGCAAACCGAGAAAAACAATAAAACAATCAGAAATTTAGAAGTTTATATTTTATAACTGAAAGTTGCACAGTTTTGTTGCTAGTAGCTTTTTTGTTACAGTAAATCTTAGACAAATGTTTAACTGTTGTTATGATTTGATGTAGAAATTAAATAAAGGTTATAAATTACCTTTATAATCCACAGCAACATCAATGGGTAACGAGGCACCCCTTTCGTAGAGTCCATTCTGGAGAGCGTATTCACGCAAGTGTCTTGAGGGAAATGCGAATTCCAACTCGCGCCATTCATGTACTAGTTTTAGGTCAACGCACATAACCAAAGGAGGGCCAATTAGAAGAATAGCAACCCATTGAATCAGCATTTCTAATGTATATATTCTGTAAAAAAATATTGATATTTAAAGCCTATTCATTTCAAAATGAACATGTTATTTACTATGATCATCAAAAGCCATTTGTTTTAAATATATAGAGAAGCCAGAAACGTTTGTAACAGTTTTTTTTCATATAAATTAATATATCTTGAGATTCTCTGATTATATTTCTATGAAATAAAGATAGGCAGATGCTGTAAATATTCCTCTACCGAATTAAGTGAAAATGATTACATAACCATTTATTATTATTTGTTAAATACAAAAAGTGCAGTGTAACTTAACTAGTTTTTGGAGTAACTAATTGTAATATCTACCGGGGCAAGTAGTAATGACAAAAAACAATAATAATACCTCTGATAATTTGTTCTTTGCTTTCTTTAAGAATATTGACATGTTTCTAATAATAAGTAATTCTTTTTATAAATCAACGTAATCTATTTTTTACAAAAATAATAAAAATATATGTAATAAAAATTCTTATCATATGTTAATGATCAAATTATAAATAATACAAATAAAAGATATTGTGCCCACATTTTACAAAAACGGTACATTCCACCCAATGTTCTTTATTTGAATCTATATATACTTTACTGCATACCAGACAATACCATTATTGCATGTTGCTATTACCCCCAAGAGTTTGTTACAACTAACCCCAGATGTGATTTTTTTTCATTATTCAAGATAACTATTTAAACAAATCAGCAATCACAAACATTATCACACACTATCAAAGATTGATAAACTTAGTCAATAATATCAACGCAAAATCGAAATTTTGTGATAGTCATGTTTATATTGCCCATAAAAAATGACGCACCTGCACAGTTCTGTTTACTGCGTCCGCTTGCGAGACAGTAGCTATGAGAGTATCATGCAGTATGAGTTAATCATTGTTTACATGTCCAATCAAAACAAAAAAATAATTTATTATTGTTTAAGATTCTATTGAAAAATGCCTATTACTACTTACCCCTGTTATAAGAAACATCTATCACTCCTACTTGTATCAATATGAAAAAACTATAAAAAGTCTCTATAAATAAACAACTTAATTAATTATTGCGCATTCTTTCATTGATAGTTATGAATGAAAACAACTCATTTTTTTTAAAGTCTACGAACACATTAGCTTAACCATACTTTGCAAAATTTGCGGACCTTATCACAAAAGTACTCACAATCAGGTAATTTTATGCTAACAGAATTGACGGATTAATGTTAAAATGATTTTTTTATCCAATACAACATCTAATCAATATAAATACCCATATTCACGATATATATATATATATATATATATATATATATATAAATACACAAAATATACCGGTTCGCGCAATCGTGTATATAAATTATACTACACAATTGCCTCGTCACGTGTTGTCTAGAATGATAATTGTTTAAAAAAGATGAACATCAGAATTTAACTTCCATTGCCCTCGAACGTAATTCATGTAATGAATCCGGAATGAGTTATAAAAATGAATAAAAACATAAACATTTAAATATTTTTCAATTCCATGGAGTATTGCAACATGAAAACTGGTTCTTAGTAGGTGTATCCGGTAATATATAAGTGTTATAAAATGACAATTAGCAACAATTTGTCATTTGTGTGATTTATGCTTATATATTGTTATAACACACACACATAAATATAAATATATATATGTGTGTGTGTATGTGTGTGTGCTAGGCTTAAAGGTCCGCGGGTAAAAATGTCCACCATCGATATCTCAAAAACAAGTAAAGTTAGGAATTTTATATATATGCTTTAACCACTTCAGCTGAAAAAATTATACTAAAAATCATAATGTATATATACGTATGTTTTTTAACTTTTATTATTAAGAGTGTTCGTAGCCTTGCAACACAAAATACCGAGTTCAGATCCTGCGATGCATAAAACATGCTATCAAGCAGTAGTGATATCTATTTTCATTCTAATATGTTTTCAAATGAATTTAATCATTTGAAATTACTGTCGAAAACCGTAAAGTCAAAAATACAAATTTGATGTATGTAAAAATATAAAATATACATATATAATATATATATATATATATATATATATATATATATATATATATCATTGATTTTTTTTTTAAACCTAATTTATGTATTGGATTAGGAATTCACCGCCTGCAACCCATAGATCTTTGATAGATATTTAAATGCCATTTTATACATATTAATGAAAACTTGAAAATGCTTATGTCACTTCTTAATCATGATAAAATATTATAATTAAGAAAAGAATAATTTAAAATATTTTTTTTTTTTTTATTTTATTTGAAGCGATCAGAACTTATGGGTTCTATGAGCTGTTGTGATTAATATCTTACAAACTACGTTTGTTTTATTACAGATGGCAACCCAAACAGTTGTCACATCTCTGTATGATAAATTTTTATTACAATCTCTGTAATAGGGCAAGTATGGTGCAACAATGCCGGATGAGGGCTATTTTCACTTGGAAACATATTGCTATTTATATTTCCAAGTAAAAATCGTTGTCAATGTTGCCTGACAACAGGCTGCTCAAAGTGGATATTGAACCCGGGACCTCTGAAACAAGTCCCGTCGCACTTAACCGCTTACCTACGGGCGAGCCCAATTTAAAATATATGCTCTTATATTGATTTAACTTATGGGGCATGGCATCTATTCAAGTGATAAATTTGAAACCTTTCAGATTTGTAAAAATAAAATAGAGAGCGAATTCGATTTTCGGTTTTAAAATTTTAATCTTCTGAATATTTATTAGCAAAGCTTAATTCTCGAAAACTAAATTTTTGTTTTATTTTTATTTTAAAAAATTTAGGTTTCTTTAAAAAACATCAAATTTGGACAAACATATAATACAGATTAACGAAATGTTTTAAAATCAATTCATAATATTTTATAAATTATAAAAAAAAATTCAGTTTATTTTTTTTAATAAATTTCAACCGTTATACCTGTATTTATTGTCTGGAACTATAAAAATGATTAATAGCAGATTTAGATTTAAAATTCCAAATCATGTATTTCATTAAATAGGTTAAATTAAAATAAATAATTAAAAAATATGAGTTTATTACCCAAGGGTATTATAACAATGTTTATAAATATAGTTATACTTAAACAAAAGGTTTTGTTTAATAATTATATTTATTTGTTACGTTAATAAAATGCGACAAAAATTAAATTCGTATTAATTAAACTATTTTTGAGATTTCGTAGAACAGAAATCATAAATGTAATGCAGCCTTGTTTTTGAGTAAAGTGAGCAAAATCCGTAAAAAGTAAAAATATAAACAAATAATTTTTAGATATGAATATTGAGAAATTTTTAACTCCTTCATACATTTGAACACTGAATATATTTACTAGTAAATACAAACTTTCAAAAAATTTAAAAATATGCAAGTAAAATTAATAAAAATTATTATATATAAAAAAATAATAATCATTATATATATATATATATATATATATATATATATATAAATATATATAATCATCTAAATGAGTTGTATAAATGTTTTTCTATGTCAAGATCTAGCAATTTGTCGAATAATATGATGACATCTAAATCTAGTTAGTGTTTTAAATCTTCAACAATAGAAACAATAATATATATATATATATATACATATTTATAATTATATATATATCAATATATAAATTATTTAAATTACCTCCATGACATGTTTTTTATCTTATTATGCCACAAATGACATAGGTAAATAATGATGACATAATATGTTATCATTCTGAGCACATATAGGTCACATTACCTCTCGACCCATATTAAAATTAATTGCAAGCCTATTTGTTTATAGTTTTACACTCTGTTTAATGAAAAACAATGAGATTCTATCAAACTCTCGAGTGTTATTGTTCAATATGATATTTTAAACTCCCAATACGAATCAAACACCAATTGAGTACTTTTCACTTCAAATATTTGTTGATCGATACGCACAAACTTAAATGAAACTGGAAAAATTCATAAAAAATCCTTTGATTATCTCTTGAACGCTTATCGTTATTTGCCTCTTAGAAATATTTTTGTGTATTTATCAAACAATTCATAAAAGAATGTCGCTGAACGTACCCGTTACATAAAATAAATAAACCTGTTGTGCTGTAAAACAATGTATGAAATTATTACATAAATACGAGTTTCTATGTATTCAGAAGGTATGAGTATATCGGAAATATATTTGCCCAAACTTGAATATATATTTTAATAATAAATTTCCAATATGATTAAAATAAGAACAAAAAATATGTAAATAAAATAGGAAAAAACCTCATAAAATTTGCCATTCATAATTAAGCATGTATTAATAAATTAAAGATATTTTTCTTAAAGATGATTTAATAGTTAAAAAAAATTAATTGTTTATAATTATTAGTTGAATAAACTGTTTATTTTGCATCTTTAATTGTATTAAATTCCTGTAAATTAAACAAAAATCTTTTGTTGTCGCATATGAACAGAAACTTCCGAAAAGTCTACAAAAAATAGAATAATTATAGAAAAATAAAATAGTTTTATTTGTCATATATAAAACGGATGCAAGAGAAAATAAGCTCATTTTCAAATTAACTTTTGTCATTTTAATAAATTATTTCTTAATTGTAAGAAAATTAATATGGCATTTTTCACTGCCTTATTATCTTCTCCATTTATTCACAGGTGTTATATGTTGGTTCACTTTTTTATGGTAATCACAATAAAAGAATAGCTATCATTAATAAAATCATTTTTTAAACATATTGCTAAAAAATTAAAAATATTGTTTTCATTTTGATTGAATTGATTAAAATCAGTTACTTGATGGTAATTAAAAAATAATATAATAAACTTTTTCGTTTTATTATAACTTCTTATGACTTTAATATCATTAGATATATTTACTTTCAAGGTCTTGTTGGGCCAAAATCAAAAATAATAATGCGATACTAGGGGAGATTGGGTACGGTTGTGCCAGGGTATGGTAG